TTTTTTTTTTTTTTGGAGACAGACGTCTCACTCTGTTGGCCAGGCTTGAGTGCAGTGGTGTCACCATAGCTCACCGTAACCTCAAATTCCGGGTCAAGTGATCCTCCGTGCGCGCTGCCCCCATGTAGCTAGGATGACAGATGCATGCCACCATGCCCAGCTAAGTTTTCTATTTTCTGTAGAGATGGGGCCTGCTCTTGCTCAGGCTGGTCTTAAACTCCTGACTTCAGTCGATCCTCCCACCTCAGCCTCCCAGAGTGCTAGGATTACAGGTATGAGCCACGTGGGCAGGCCTCTTTTCCCTATACTTTCAACCACATGGTATCTCTCACTCAGAACTGTCAAAGGACTTTGATGATACTTTTAATCATCTGTATATCATTCTCTCCCTGTTCTTTTTTTATTTATTTTTTTTTTTTTTTTGAAACAGTGTCTCACTCTGTTGCCCTGGTTAGAGTGCTATGGCGTCAGCCTAGCTCACAGCAACCTCAAACTCCTGGGCTCAGGCAATCCTCCTGCCTCAGCCTCCCGAGTAGGTGGGACTACAGGCATGCATCACCATGCCCGGATAATTTTTTCTATATATTTTTAGTTGGCCAATTAATTTCTTTCTATTTTTAATAGAGATGGGGTCTCACTCTTGCTCAGGCTGGTCTCGAACTCATGAGCTAAAATGATGTGCCTGTCTCAGCCTCCCAGAGTGCTAGGATTACAGGCGTGAGCCACCATGCCCAGCCTTTCTCCCTGTTCTAAGTTCCTTCAGCCCTGAGTATTTACCACTATATCTCTTAAATATTACAGAATTAAAATAACAAATATTATAGAATTTAAGGTAATTCATATTAATGATTATATGTAATTTAAGCCTAAACAACCCACTTACCAACTAAACACATTTTTAATAACTGAAGATACTATGAATAAAAGCAAGTTTAATGGTCACTTATATAATCAACAAATTTATTATCTTTCCGAACACTGCCAGCTTACATACAAACACACTGTTTATCTTATAATCAGGTAAATTCTTTGATACTTAAACAACTGTGTTCAACTTTATTTTACCTTGCTCATGTTCTAAGAGCTGTAGAGCTTCAACTCCATTACTCCCAGAAGGTCCTGCTCCAAGTTCTGACACAGACTCCCCTTCCAAGTCTAGAGAGGACACTGAATTGGAGCGATTTGAAGGACCTAGAGAAATGTTCATCTTGTCAGCAATCCTTTTAAAACAGTTATGAACCACCATGCAATTTTTCATGCCTTGTAAGAGACAAAAGACTGATTAAAGTGCTTTTAATACTGCATTTATACCTTAAAAAAAATACATGCCCTTTGAGCTAGCAATTCTGCTTCTAGGAATTTAAGAAACCAATCAAAAATTATTCTAAGATTGTTTGCTGTGAGCTTCTTACAATGTCTGAAAAGTGGAAGCAATCTATATATTTAATCATAGAAGAATGTTGAAATAAATTATGATATGCTCATCTGAAGTTAAAGAGCCATTAAAATTCTTCTTTAAGAATGTTAAATTACAAACGGAAATGGTAATGCTATATTATAAACCAAAAAAAGTTACAAAACAGCATAAACCTAATTTTGCTATATATAAACCAAAATGTTAACTGCTATTAACAGAATGGTGAGCTTATAGATGATTCTATTTCCTCCATTTTCTGAAATGAATACACATTACTTATAAAATTTTTTGAAAAGTTAGATAAAAAGGAAAAGTTACTACACTTTATGTTTCTTTTTAAATGTCAGTAAACTAGAACTTTTTTCATTTAAAAATTTGTCCTAGTATGTGGAATGACATTCTTACTTCACAGGCTTGGCTATTAATTTTCTTTTTCATTCCTATTTCCACTGTATCCTGTTTCATAAAGATGTATGTAAGTGTCAGAATAAAGGAATAGAGAACTCTAAGAGTATACACAACATCTTGAAATACAAGTAAGTCCATTTTTCCCATTAAGACATGCGTCATATCCTTCTAAAGGAGCTCTATAAGCTTTGGTATATATTTACACAGGAGAAACAAAACATGCTATTATCCTATTTAAGTCTGAATGAAGAGTTATATCTTCTCCATTCTGTATGACCGAAGGCATCTTATAATCTTAATTTTATTCAAGAAACAATCTTTACAGCCAACTGCTCAAGCTCATTAGAGAAAATCTTCATTACTCTCCTCAGTGAGAAGCACAGATGGTATAATTAGAATTTATAAGGCTCCTTTAAAGAACACAAAACAAAATATTACTTGAATCACACAACTCCTTGAATGAAGTAACCCTTCACCTTCAGATATTCCTTCCAGATTATCACTGCAGAGGGAAAAGCGCAAGGTTTTATCAGGTTTACCGTGGAGTTTGTTTTCATCAACAGGGACATCTCCTTGTCCTCCATCCGAGAGCTGCATGTTTAGGACCTGAAAAATAAAACGCCAATTCTGGTTTAACAACTGAAAGAATATTGATAAGAAAACAGGCCAGGCGAGGTGGCTCACGCCTGTAATCCTAACACTCTGGGAGGCCAAGGCAGGCAGATTGCTCGAGGTCAGGAGTTTGAAACCAGCCTGAGCAAGAGCAAGGCCCTGCCTCTACTATAAATAGAAAGAAATTAATTGGCCAACTAATATATATGGAAAAAATTAGCCAGGCATGGTGAAACATGCCTGTAGTCCCAGCTACTCGGGAGGCTGAGGCAAGAGGATCGCTTGAGCCCAGGAGTTTGAGGTTGCTGTAAGCTAGGCTGACGCCACAGTACTCATTCTAGCCTTAGCAAAAAAGTGAGACTCTGTCTCAAAAAAAAAGAAAAAAAGAAAAAAGGAAACAAACCACAACAAATGCATATTTGAGCCTTTCTTAATCTAAAATTATCATTTTTAACTAAAACCCCATTTATAAGGTCTGTCTAACTTTTAAATACTTGTGGAATAAAAGTATATCAGTTAAAACAACTGAAGCTATGTCTCTCCACTACCCTACCAGTGTCAGAGACGGAACAGGCAATCAGACATCGGATGAGCAGGAATTAGGAGTAGAGGAGTCAGAGGGCTGTGGTGTTAGCAGGCTGGTCCTTCCTGTGCTGCCATGTGTCAACTATGGTAACTTTGGATAAGTTATTTAAGCCCTCTAATCCTTAGTTTCTTCATCTATAAAATGATACTAAGAGCATATATCCATGGAATTGCTGAGGATTAAATAAAAAGATATGCATAAAGCATTTGGTGCAGCACATAACCTATTGAATTTGCAGTATATATATTTTTTAAAGTTAATAAATGAATTCAAGCAGAAGAAAAGATGATGTAATCATGTTATTAATATCTTGCAGGCACCAGAATTTAATTTAAACTAGTTTAAATGCTACTTGATTACCACATACAGGGCCACAAAAGTCCATGCCAGAAGCTAAAGTATAACTTCACAGCCATCTCCAGCTTAGAGGTGATGGCCTTTAATAATGCTTTCTATTTACTGGATGATTTCCAAATAACATAATTACTTCTCACATACTCCGTATAAGCCTCATAATTCAACTCATAAGGTGTATCTCCACCTTAATGAAGAATTGAGCACTACATTGCAAGTCACATAGCATAGTTTAAGACCCAGAACTGGGCTGGGCGCGGTGGCTCACGCCTGTAATCCTACTCTCTGGAGCGCCGAGGCGGCGGATTGCTCGAGGTCGGGAGTTCGAAACCAGCCTGAGCAAGAGCGAGGACCCCGTCTCTACTATAAATAGAAAGAAACTAAGTTGGCCAACTAAATATATATAGAAAAAATTAGCCGGGCATGGTGGGCACATGCCTGTAGTCCCAGCTACTTGGGAGGCTGAGACAGAAGGATCGCTTGAGCCCAGGAGTTTGAGGTTGCTGTGAGCTAGGCTGACGCCACGGCACTCACTCTAGCCTGGGCAACAAAGCGAAGACTTGTCTCCCAAAAAAAAAAAAAAAAAGAAAATTAATTGGCCAACTAATATATATATATAATTAGGCCGGGCATGGTGGCCGCATGCCTGTAGCTCCAGCTACTCGGAGGCTGAGGCAGAAGGATTGCTTAGCCAGGAGTTTGAGGTTGTTGTGAGCTAGGCTGACGCACGGCACTCACTCTAGCCTGGGCAACAAGCGAGACTCTGTCTCAAAAAAAAAAGAACCCAGAACTGGCTGGGCACAGTGGCTCACCCCTGTAATCCTAGCATTCTGGGAGACCGAAGCGGGAGGATTGCTTGAAGTCAGGAGTTTGAGACCAGCCTGAGCAAGACCCTATCTCTACTAAAAACAGAAAAAATTAGCTGGGCAACTAAAAATAGAAACAAAAAAAAAATAGCCAGACATGGTGGCAAGTGCCTGTAGTCCCAGCTACTACAGAGGCTGAGGCAGGAGATTCACTTGAGCCCAAGAGTTTGAGGTTGCTGTGAGCTAGGCTGATGCCATGGTACTCACTATAGCCCAGGCAACAGAGTAAAACTCTGTCTAAAAAAAAAAAAAAAAAAAAGAATCCAGAACTTGAACTCACACTCAGTGGCTCGCTTGGCTGTTGCTGGAATATGAAGGAGAGAACAGTGTCCTCACTTCAAAAGAAAAAACAGTTCTCACCACAACAAAAGAATAAGTATGTGAGGTACTGCATATATTAGTTTGACTTAGCCATTCCACAATGTATATCTATATTAAAATATCATGTTGTACACTATAAATAAATATATGTAATTTTAAAAAGAAAAAAACATCCTCTAGGTTGCTGTTTTGACCCTGAATTTAAAAGAATAAATGTTTTTTAATGGTTTTATAAATTTATACACATGATGCTTTTAAAAAGTCATTTAAAGCCCAGCACAGTGGTGGGCACCTATACTCCCAGCTACTCAGAAGGCTGAAGTGGGAAGATCACTTGAGCCCAGGAGTTCGAGGCCAGCCTGGGCAACATAGCAAGACCCCATCTCTTTTAAGAAAAGTCAATTAAAAACAAGACATTTTTCCTATTTGCTTGAAATGAAATAGACGTAAAAATTTTTCATTTTGTATTTTTAAGATAACTTGGACCTATTCACCAACTTCAGTGCCACAGATGTATTAATGTTAAGGGCCTCCACAAATGCTCATCAAATGCATAACATGATAGTGTGTCATGGTAGGCCCACTGAAGATAAAGAAGAACACAAATTAAATTCACTGCTATGGTCTGAATGTTTGTACTGCCCTAAAATTTGCCTGCTGAAATCCTAACCCTCAAGGTGATGATGGTTTATGGAGACTAGGCCTTTGGGGAGGTGATTAGGTCATGAGGGCAGAGCCCTCCTGAGTGGAATTAGTGCCCTTATAAAATAGGCCCAAGGACACAGCAAGAAGGCACCATCTATGAACCAGGAAATGGACCTCAGTAGACACTATATCTGCCTTGATCTTGGACTTCCCAGCCTTCTGAATTATAAGAAGTAAATTTCCATTATGATAAGACAATCAGCCTTTGGCATTTTATTATAGCAGCCAAAATGGACTAAGACATCAATACTGATTTATAGAGGCAAGCAACCATGTACATTCATACCTCATTTTCTGACATCATCCCTGGAGTAAGCTGGGGACCTGTCCCTAAGGAAATGACCAGCACCTCTTCTGGTTGCACCTCCGGGATGGTTTCCTGAGATGATCCTTCATGGTCCATATGTAGGTCCATTAGCATATTGGTGCGGCTTCTGCTCCGAGATGCTAATAAAAATTTTCAAATAAAACAATTTAGAGGAACACAAAACTAAGAAAATGGCACACTAAATATGAAACTATATATTCTATTAGTGCAGAATAGTTGCGAATGAGATCTGTCTCAAAAAAAAAAAAATCCTATGAGAGTAGGTATAATCACCATCTTGCACACGAAGCACTGTGTTACACTGGCTATATAAAAGCATTAGGATGTGCCCTTACTCTCAAGTGAGTGCTCATAGTTTAGTTGAGGCAAAACAAGAAAAGACCAGTACCTGTCAGCATACTAAGTGTTTGGATGGAGATGAGCTGCGCCCCTCCCTCAGTGGATCAGGGGACACTTAACTTAGGCACTTGATGGTGTTATCAGAAGATCTTGTAGTGAAGCCTATACTTTCTTTTGAAGGATAAATGGGAGTTGGACAAAGTAAACAAAACAGGTCTATAGTCTTTAAGCCAGGGGAGCAGCAGTATTTTAGTGCCTGCCTAATTATAATGAGGAGCTCAGCACACTTAGCGATGAATAGTTTTTTGTTTTTTTTTTAATACAGATAAGGTCTCACTCTGTACCCAGGCTGGAGTGCAGTGCATGATCATAGCTCAGTGCAACCTCAAACTCCTGGCTAACCTCTTAAATAGCTGGGACTAAAGGCCTGTGCCACCACGTGAAGCTATTTTTAAAATTTTTTGTAGAAATGGGTCTGTTGGTCAGGCTGGTTTTTTTTTTTTTTTTTTTTTGAGACAGAGTCCACTTTGTCGCCCAGGCTAGAGTGAGTGCCGTGGCGTCAGCCTAGCTCACAGCAACCTCAAACTCCTGGCTCAAGCAATCCTGCTGCCTCAGCTTCCGAGTAACTGGGACTACAGGCATGCGCCACCATGCCCGGCTAATTTTTCTATATGTATTAGTTGGCAATTAATTTCTTTTTGTTTATAGTAGAGACGGGGTCTCGCTCTTGCCTCAGGCTGGTTTCAAACTCCTGACCTTGAGCAATCCCGCTGCCTTGGCCTCCCAGAGTGCTAGGATTACAGGCGTGAGCCACCGCGCCGGCTATTTCATATTTTTAAAAATGTGTCTGTTGTTCAAAGGGTCAATTTTCTTTCTATTAATGCTTTGCAACCTAGGACAACAGTTAGTAGCCATCACTGCCTGGGATTCCTCAGCTACCAATCTTACTGCTCATATTATACTAGTAACCCTGTGTGTTGGGTAATAGGCTGTTCTTCTCTTCTTATATAATTTTATTTAAGAAATCATTTATCAAAATGTGCTTCATGTGCATGTTGCTTTTGCTTTAGTAAATTGCTACATGAAATTTGATTATTTGCATTTTTATAAATTATAAAGTTTGTTACTTAAGATTCATAGCCCTGCTCTGAAATTGAATTTAAGTTCACAATTCAATAGGATAATGAGGGCTGGCAAATAAAGATGTGAGTGAACCTGTTTTAGTCTTTGGAAATTGGTATATGCTCTGAATTTTCAGACTAAAAGTGTTTAATGAGCAGATCTATAGCATTGTGAAGAAACGGGATTGTTATCTTTCTGCCCTCTTTCTGTCAAGTAGGTTACCTTTCACTGAAAGTGAAATTGAAAGACTTTTGTTACTATAGAATGTTTTGCTTTATGTCTGTACTTTTGATGATTTTTGCATTGAAGAGAATTCTATTTAGTATTCCAGTTGTATTAAGAGTTGTTGCCCTCTGAAAGAAAATGGAAAATGTAGGCCGGGCGTGGTGGCTCACGCCTGTAATCCTAGCTCTCTGGGAGGCCGAGGCGGGTGGATTGCTCAAGGTCAGGAGTTCGAAACCAGCCTGAGCAAGAGCGAGACCCGTCTCTACTAAAAAATAGAAAGAAATCAATTGGCTAACTAATATATATAAAATTAGCCGGGCATGGTGGCGCATGCCTGTAGTCCAGCTACTTGGGAGCTGAGGCAGAAGGATTGCTTGAGCCAGGAGATTGAGGTTGCTGTGAGCTAGGCTGACGCCATGGCACTCACTCTAGCCTAGGCAACAAAGCGAGACTCTGTCTCAAAAAAAAAAAAAAAGAAAGAAATGGAAAATGGAAAATCAGAGAATTGTCACAAACTGGTAAATCTTTCAATGTCCAAACTTTTAAAGATTTATAAGATAAATTATTTTAGAAAAAAGTATTACTTTTTTACTTTGGACAAAGGTATTACTTTAAATTGTTTCCATAAAACAGATAGGACCTTGTATTCAAACATAAGGAGATCTTCTCTCTTACATCTTTTGAAAGAGGTTAATACATTTCTGTGGAGAAAAATGTGCTTTGAAAAACTGATTCTTGTTTTGTCAAAGGTTGCTAATTAAATTATATTACTTTAAATGGCTATCAAGTTCCATTGAAAATGTTCTAATGTTATTAAGTTCAATTATTAGTATGGGAGATCTGTGTCAGTTAAATCATTTTACAGAAAAAATAATAAAGATATCTTTAAAAAATAAGAAATAAGGTAATGCTTTTCTTATGACCCAAATCTGAAATTGATTGAGACATGTTTGCCGTTCTGCATGTGTGATTATATGTGGACTTAAATCAAATCACTGTCCTGGTTATCAGTTTGAAGGATAAGCTGTACTGGTCGTTAATAGAGTAAGTAACTGGGAGGATCTAGTTCTTGATTTGTTTTATTTTTTTCTTATTTATATTTTCACCACTCTTTTTTTGTGCATGCGCAACCC